CAAACAAACCACACATAGACACACAGCAAAACCAAACATGTACACTTTCATCAGTGGAAAAAGTTGAAGAAAATCTAGATCTAGAAATGTATGAAAAATGGCCTTGAAAACCTGCTATACCAAACACCTCTACAGACAAGGAAAAAAAAAACAAAAATCAAACATTTGTTTTCCTGATTTTTAATACAATTGCCATCTTACATGATACACTATTAGGTGCCTTCTTAATAGCTTCTAATCTACCCTTTTGTTGTACCACTTGGCATCCTGGGATAGAATTTGTTACCGCTCACGTTCATGGAGTACTGTTCTTAAGTACAGTATACCTCATATGGTCAGGCCATAATTAATGAGTAATGGTATTAATTTCTAAAAATGAATTAACACACACATTCAAACCACATTTAAATTTCAATTTAGAGTTCATACAAAGTCTATTTCCTTTCTATAGTAGCTATCACCTCCAGATTATGGTTTTAAAATCCAACAAGTGGGAAGAATGTCTTTGTATTTCATTTTTGATGCTTCCTTCCTCCTTTTCTACCATCCTTTATTCCTTCCCTCCATTTTCTTTCTTCTGTTCTTCCTCTTTCTTAATGATAAGAAGTTAAAAGAAATGGGTTATTAAGGAAATCAAAGTCTAGTAAACATCAAAAACAGACATGAGAGTGATCACAAACTCTGCTTTGTAGTGATGTTAAAACACTGACAGATATTTTTTTGGAAACCAAAAATATTTAAAAACCAACACAAGCCAATGGTGCTGCTTATTTAAGCAACTGGCGCTCCTCGATGCTTTTGAGGCGTTTCTTCCGGGGCTGTACAAAGTCATCATCTGAATCATCACTAAATTTATTATCTTCTGATTCATTCCTGAATTCTAGTTTAGGAAATTTTTTTTCTGGATAAAGGTTCTTTAGAAGTTCTTCAAAGTAATTTTCAAGTTTTATTCCAGCATTGGCTACTTCTGAATCAGGCTGTTGAATTAAAAAAAATACAAATTAAAAAATAAAGACCAACACTCTAGACAATAAAAGTAATAAATCTCTCACTCTTTTGTTCTTTGACTTGTGAGATTATGAATATTAATGGACTGTTCTGGAAAATGCTCATGGCACGGTCATTAATATAAATAAGTCTATGACTAGACAGGGTCTAGAGAAAGTCAGCTAAAAAGTAAATAAAAATCCTTGACTTATCTGGATTGTTCTAAAAGAGGGTGGTAATGGCAGGACTGGATTACCAAAGATAGATTAATAACCATAAGATCGTGAAACTGTTATTTTTAGAACAAATTAAATAAAATGTGGTACTGTAGAATAAGTAACAAATACACAGAACAAACCATCAACAAAAGGCTATCAGTTTGAAAAACGTTTAGATGAACTGACAGATGAGAAATTTTAAAACTAGAGCTCTTTGGACCACATCCTTAATATTTTAAGATCAACATCAAAAATACTAAAGTCTGGAAGTACCCTATATTTCAAGAAATAAAGGTGGAAATAAGAAATAATATCTCTAGGTCAGATAAAAATATTTTCTAAATTGTCTTCAAGTTACCAGCTGTAATTTGCATTTCCATGTGGACAAAGTCTTCCTAATTACCTCTGTCATTCCCTGACAGACTTGAAATATTGTAAATTTATTCTGGCATAGACATATTGGTTTCCTAGTTTGTTGATAAGGTTAAGATTATTTTCACATTGCTATTGCTTCCCACCAACCTCCCCTGCCACCTCACCTCATTGAATTCAGCACAGTTTTGAAAGATCAATCTAAAATCAGCTACAAACTCTTCAGGTTTTGAGTACATAGAATAATCTTCTTGTAGTTTTTTCTTGATAGTTGACAAGTCCATTGGATTTTTAATTATTCTGTAATAATCAGGCACCTTTCAAAATAAATGAGATGTTATAATACAAATAGCTAAATCCTACCAGGCCCTAAATAAATTCTGCAAGAAGTGGTATAAAATCCTAAATAAATTCTATGAGGAGTGGTATAAAATTCACATTGCATTCCACTGTACTACTTGTCATTGATAGGGAAACTCATTCGAAAACATTTACAAGTGCATACTGCCTTCCACACATTGATAAATGGTTTGTGTCATTTTTCGAAAAAAATCTCACCAATTATTTTTAATGAAAAATCTTGTCTTCACATATTACCTCGTAAATCATCTCTATTCTCCTTCTTTATTATTAAACATAAAACAATTACTAGAAAGAATATTACTTTCAGTAGGATCAGACATGTTTTTGCTACATGTATTAAAGCAAGGGGTAAAGGAAGACTATGAATCTGGGTTTAATCCCCAGCTCAACATCATGATCATGGGTAAATTACTTAACCTCACTGAACCTTACTTTCTTCATATTCTAAATAGGGATAACCCTGCCAGCCTCAAAGCATCTTCTAAAGAAAGACTAAATGAGATGAAATATATTAAGAAAAGGAGGGCTATCTTACTGCTGCAATTGGTTATTAATACCAAATGGAACTGTAAGCCAAGACCATATAAAGCACCAATTCTAGGTTAAATTTTAAGATTGTACTGCCATTACAAGCTTACTTAAATTCTTTACTCTGCCTCTTTTGGGTACAAAAGGCCCTTCTCCCTGAAAGTATTTACTTCCTTTTCCTATCTCAAGTTCTCAAAACCTGCTCTCAAAAAATAAGTTGACTGTTATCAACTGAATCTACTTAATTAAGCTGGTTTTCTTTTTCTAAACTTGCATTAATTCTTAAATTTATCAAACTTTAGAGCAAATTTATTAACAATTTTAAAGGAGTTTCAGACATCAGAGAATAGGAGAATATACTTTGGGTAGTAGGCCCTTTCCATCACTCTAAAATTATGCATTAAAGTCACATCAAACTTTCAACATGAACCGTTTTAAAGTTAATAGTTAAAACACACACACACGCATTCTTCAACTTTTTTATATTGATAAATTCTACCTTATTACTTGAAGTCTGGACCTATAAATCAAAGTAAGTACAGAAAATTTGGCCGGGGTTGGTGGGGGTGGGGCGGCAGGTATCTTTAACTCAAATGGAAAAGCTTTTCTCAACAAATTAAGAAACATGCCTAAACTTCCTGAGATAGACACAATTACCACAAATTATCCCAGAGAATAGTAGGCAAAACAGGTGAGATAAGAAGAATACCTAAGAAATGAATACAAATTTTTGGTCAATTTGTTAACATTAAAATGTATCTATTTAGGATCAAAACATTCAGTATAAGTTTTAAAATTTGTATAATACTGGATAGGAAAAACTATTGAAAAATGGTACAGAAACTAGATTCTTATAAATAAATTTCAGAAAAATCATTCCATTGTGTAAACATGCACAAAATGACATTAATACTTACAGTTAGAGGAACGGGGTCTTGAAAAGCCAGGCTCATTTCATGGCAGTAAAGAAATAAAAGTAGGCGTTCACACTTCTAAGCAAAAATAAATAAATAAATTAAAATGAAAATAAAACAATGAAATCACAGCCTATTTTTAACACTTATCACTCTAGTTTGTGTATTATGAATTATTAATAGTCAATAAAGGAAGAATATGTGTCTCTTAAGAGATCCAGAGGGGGAGCCTTTTCCGTGGTGCATCCAGTCCTAAGGCCCTCTCTCTGCACGCAGAGGGTCCCATCACTCACTCTGCTCTGATTATAGATTTATCTCAGTGAACACTGTGTAGTACTTGCAGTGATATCTGTGCCCCATTTTGCATGACAACTTTCATACTGATTGTTCCATTAATACTTAATAATCTAGCAAAGGAGTTTCTTTAGTAATAAAGTTTTGAGTCAGTAGCTTTAAATGTTAACTACAGGCCGGGCACGGTGGCTCACGCCTGTAATCCTAGCTCTCTGGGAGGCCGAGG